CTAATACTTTATTCCACAAGTGTTTTTCACTTAGGGAGATAGCTATGTATAAGACAGACATAGTTCCTACCCTAGCGGAGCTCGATAAAATACTGTAAAGCAATAAAGTAATAAGCAAGATAATTTCAGATAGTTCTGTAAAAACAATAAGCAGTAGAAAGTGGGGAAATAATTTTAAACTGGAGTGGTCCGAAGAAGTCTCTGAGAAGCCATCTAAAATGAGACCTGAGTTACAACAAAAGTTACTGTGAGTTTGAAGAACCTTGCAGGCAGGGGCAACTGCAGATACAGTGGCCCTTAGATAGAGGAATCGTTTTTTATTAGAGGAACTAACATGGCAACATAACGAGCTCAGAAAGCCAAGGAGATAGTAGTAGATGATGGGGAAGGAGGCAAGAACCAAACAATACAGGGCCTTGTAGACCATAGGAGTTTGGTCTTGACGTTAAGGCAGGTTGTTCCTGTATCTGGACAAGTAAACAAATCAGGCTCAGTTTTCATGATCCTAAGTCTGTTCTCATGAACTTAATTCAGTTATTTTTCTAAACAATTCCTAATAGCTGCTCTTTATTTTTGTTTTAACTGTTATTTTCAGTATCTTTTTAAAAAAAAGTCCACTGTATTTTCTTGTAAGTTTTCGGTGGTAATAAATTATATGCAGTGTTCAACAAACACTTAAATAGTAGAAATAAATAAAGCCAGGATTCTTGTAAGGGGGTACTCCTCTGTTTGTCTTTGGAAATCCTGTAGTTGTGGTGACAGCAGATAGATTGACTAACTACTGCCTCTTGTCTTAAATGTGGACATCAAGGTCTGTACTCTCCTTCCTAGAAGAGGCGAATAAGGGAATTTAAAGTCTGCATGTATCCTATTTAATCTTCGTTTAGAAATAATGCTTGCTTGTTTTTTTATGCTCTATATTTTGAGAGAGAGAACTATCAGTGAGAGGGAGAGAGAGAGAGAGAGACCCATCAGTGTCCCCATATGAGGTAACAGGGTTGAGAACAGCTGTCACTCTTGGCCTACAGCTTCTGCCCTGAAGGAAGTAATAGAAGGGCTCAGAATCCCCCTTCCTTACACCAGTAAGTTATGCTTTGGAAGATCGTTACCCTATCTGTGGCTTAGGGAGCCACACCAGATTTAGGGCTTAAAACCTTTAGTCGAAGAATCTCACCATCAGGTCTGGGACATGAAAAGTGAGGTAATAGGTCTATGTTAACTGGCAACGCATTAAAGAAAGAGACTGCAATCCTCTCTACCTCTAACCCTTAGTGTTTCCAGTAAGCTCATAAATCCAGGCGTTGGTTCAATATCTCCACTTGGAGTCTAACAACCTTAAAATTTATATGTTCAAAATGGAATTCTTGAGCCTTCTACTGCCTCCCACATCCTCCCAGTCTTCCCCATCTCAGGTAGTAGCAGCTCCATTCTTTCAGTTACGTAGTAAAAACCTTGGCATCATCTTTCACACCCTGCATACATCAGGAAATCCTGTGGACTCTCTCCTAAAAGTATATCCAGAATCTGACCTCTTCCCACCACCTCCACTTTGGTCCACTGTTATCTCTCACCTACATTATTACTGTAGCCACCTAGCTGGCCTCTCACTTCCTCTCTTCCTCCTAGACTATGTCCTCGGTACAATAGCCAGATTGATCCTGGTAGAAAACCTAAATGAGAGCCTGCCTCTTCTCAAGACTTTCCAGCAGCCAGTTTCTGTCAGAATAAAAACTATGATGCCTGCAGTGGCCCTCAGGACCCTTTATGATCCCTGACTTCACCTTCTCATCTGTGCTCCTCTCTTTGACCTCCCTAGAGGCCTTTATCTTCCTGTTCCTTGAAGGCCACAAAGCATTTGCACCTGGAAAGCTCCTCCACCAGCTAGTCACATGGCACACTCTCTCTTCAAGGATTGGCTCAAATGTCACGTTTCTGAGGCCTACTCTCTCTGCCCCTACCACCTGCACCTCACTCCCAGCCTGCTCCATTTTCACTAGCACTAGTTCCCTAACACACTCCATTTTCTCTTCAGTACTTATCACTTTTAACACATTTTGTGATTTTCCTATTGCCTCTCGCTCCTAACTAGAATGGACTCTCCATACTGGCAGGGATTTGTGTCTTTTTGGTTAAAAATGGCAGTGCCTAGAAAAGTATTTGGCATAAGCAGGTATTCAGCAGTTTGTTACATGAATCAGTAATGAATGAATGATTTACTATCATTACCACCAAAGATCAAAATACTCTATTCAAAAAAGGAGAGAGCACTTATTTTTAAACACTCTAAAGCATTTAAATATACTGCTTAAGGAGAAAATAATTAAATCTTCCTGTTGAAACACTCTTTGCAGATTGCCTGAGAAAAGATAAAATAAACATTTGGGTATCTGACCTACAAATCAAAATCCCGGCTAAAAATATGCTGAAAAAAATTCACTGTTAAGTTAAACTTTCATGTTTGGTCAATACTTTGTTGTGCTGTTTTGTTTTTATTAAAGTGCCAAAGGGATGGATGAAACTGTTGCCGAGTTTATCAAGAGGACACTCTTGAAAATCCCAATGACTGAAATGATGACAATCCTAAAAGCCTGGGATTTTTTGTCTGAAAATCAACTGCAAACTGTAAACTTCCGGAACAGAAAGGAATCTCTTGCTCAGGACTTGGTTCTGCTTTGTGAGGTAACAATGTTCAAAATGGTTAACCTTGAACATCATGCTACCCACTTTGTTTTTTTCTTTCTTTCCTCTCCTTAGTCCAAAAGAGATTTAAGGCACCTGCTAAGCTGTAAAGTGATGAGGGCTAAGAACTACTATAGTGAAGAAGATACTAATTTTTAGTCAGCTTTTTTACCTTATAAAACAGCTTACAAATAACTGGGAAAAACAAGTGAATACCACGGGAGAAAAAAAAACACAATCAATACAAGTTTAAGTAATGAACAGTATTCTTTTTTTACCTATCAGATTGTCAGAGATGAAAAGATAATACTCAAATGCATTGGTCAAGTTATGTGGAAAGAGACACTCACATGTATTTACTTATTTGCTTTTTGTTTTAAAATGATTTCAGGCTTTCAGAGAAGTTGCAAGTAAAGTGCAAAAAATTCCCATATTCCAGTATACCCTTCCCTTAGTCACTTTTAAGTAAATATACTCTATGATCCAGCATTCCTACTTCTGGAAATTTATATGGAGAAAATCATTTAAAAAAAAGATATTTATATAAATATTATTGATAAACATTTATATATGTAGTTATTATATATTTATATATAAAGATGTTAATTAGTATTGTTTAAAAAACAAAAAAATTGGAAACAACTATACATAGATTAGCTAAATAATAATACAGCCACATAACAAAATATTCTTCAGCCATTAAAAATAATAAACTAGATCTCTGTGTGCACATTGAAAGAAACTATGATATGCATACATATAAATGTGTATGTATAGAACAGTGGTTCTCAGCTGAGATGATCTTGTTTTCCAGAGGACACCATGTCTGGAGACATTTTTGTTGTCACAGCTGTGGGAGTAGGGTGCTACTGGCTTCCAGTGGATAGAGGCCAGGAATGCTCCTTAACATCCTAGGACAGCTCTTCCCAACACAGAATTATCTGACTTAAAATGTCAGTGGTGCCCAGTTAAGAAACTCTGTTGTAGAGGAAAAGAAACAAAACAAAAAGTTAAATGTGATAAATGAGTAGATTGCAGGAGAACAGTTGTTAGTGCTTGTACTGACTCATGAATCAGAAGGTGTATTTGTTACTTACCAGGAGAGCATAGTTTGGAGACAGGTTGAGAGGTTGCTCTTCGTTCTAAGCAATATGAAAATGTGCTATAAATGGGGGAAGATCAAACCTATTGCCATGTTTACTGAACATTTTATCCTCTCTTTCAGGAGAACTGTATAAGTCTCGATGATGCAGCCCTTTTAGAAATCATTTGTAAGTTTTAGTGATTTGTATTTACATTTAACCAATCCAGTTTTATTAGAGAGGCAGTTTTGTATGTAAGGGTTCAGATTCTGGAGATGGGTTGACCTGGTTTAAAATCTCAGCTCTGTCACTTACCAGTCTTGTGTCTTTTGCCAAGTCATATTGCTTTTCTAGGCCGCAGACTTCTAAGTAAAATGGAGATAATAATAGCATCTATTATAATAACATTATATTATGTTATAATAATAGCACAGGACATTGTGTGGCTTAAATGAGATCATGCTTGAAAGGCTCGTAGCACAGTAACTGGCATATAATAAGCACATGGTAAACATCTGTTAGGCTTTGTATTAATATTAACAATTGAAAATATATTTCTGAGAATTTGTTCTTATTATGGTGTAGCTTTTAAGGAATGTAAGGATTAAAACTGACTGGGCTTTGCATGTGGTGTGTGTGATCCAGGGGACTGAGTAGGAGGAGCACACATGGCTCTAGGGTCTGTATGTGCAACTAGAAGGAAAGTGGAGGCCCTTGCTGAGATAGGGAACACTAGAGGAGACCAAGTTTGTCACAAAGATCATGGATTAGGCTAAGAGGTATTCTATTTGAGGAAATGTCTTCATTTGTCTTGCTGTTTATCGTGAATTTTTACCTGATGTTTAATGGAATCATTTACAATCAAAAATTTTAATTTCCATATTATATAACAGCCATATTCAGAGTTTAGCAGGCCATCTTAACTCAAACACAGAACCAAGGAAGAAAATAACAGAAAAGAACAGAATCCTTTGGATGCTGTTTCTTGGGCAGGCATCGCATTGTACCTGCTTACACCTGTTTTATGCAAAACTCAGTAATCAAGAATTGTCAGGCCATTGCCATATATGGGGTAAGAGAGGGAGATGGAGACACCAAACCACCAAATAAAGGGGGGAAAAAGACATTAAACTGTAGGAAAGACAAGAAGAGTAATAATTACAAAAAGCATGGCAAGTTGGTGCCCTTGAGTGTTGGGGCCAAGATCCCATCTTTATGGACTATAGAACACCTTGGTACTAGGTCCAAAGATAGAGACGGAGGTCAGTGCAGACAGAGGTCAACACAGGGACAGAGTAAAACGAGGATGCTAATGTGGTAGGACTGAATTCAATAACTTCCTAGGTCCATTTTTACTCCAAGGTACTCTTAAATTTGTAACTCCTGATGGGTGTCTTCTATATCACACATTCAATCATCAAATACATACAGAATCCTTGTTTAATGCCAGCCAGTGCCTAGACACTGGGAATACAACAATGAACAAGGCAAAGTCCTGTATTCCATAGGATTCTAGTTGGGGAGACAAGCAGTTTACAAATGACCATCTAAATATATGATGTGATGTCAGAAAGTGATAAATGCTGTGTAGGAAACTAAAAGCAGGGCAGGGTGATCAGGGTAGGCCACTACATAGGTAACATTTTAGTAGAGACTAGAATGAGGTACAGGAATGAGGTGTGTAAAGAACTAAGAGAAGAATGCTCCAGACGAAGGAACAGCCAGTGCTTAGGTTGTACATTTTTATTCAAAATATAAATTTTATGTGGATTAAATTTACTCCAGACAAATAAAACAAGTAATTCTTTATGACTTGTCATTTTCTCTACTTTCGTATTATTGAAAATGTATATTTATAAGCACATTACTTAAAAGTTCTATGATATAATAGTAACAAGCTCTTCTTCCCTCTCTCAGATACTCAATTTCATCGGCACCAGAAAGTATGGGATGTTTTTCAGATGACTAAAGAACCAGGTAACTTTGTCCTTATAAACTGAACATTTGTATTTGATATTTTAGCAATTTAAAAATGAATAGCATTATGTTCCTCTTAAATCTCTTGTCTTTTAAAATGAGGTGATTATTACTCATTTACGGGAAAATGAGAAATATATTTGGTGGTGCTGTGTCAGAGGTACCAGCAGAATTTGTGTGATTTGATCATTATCACTCTTTGAGGTTATACAAAATGCTCACCTTCAGAGTTTTTGCAAATGTAAATTTTTTAATTGAAGAAATGATTTTAATTTTTTTTCCCTGACTACCTCCCTGCTCTCCTCTCCCTTCTACCCCCTGGTAACCACTAGTCTATTGTCCATGACCATGAGTCTCTGTTTCAAATGTATTTATTGAAGACATTGTAGCTCCTTTAAATTTTCTTGATTTTTCTTTTCACTTTGACAGGTGAAGACACTGACCTTTCCGATATGGAACAATTCAAAAGTTCATTTAAGAAAATTCTTCAGCGAGCATTAAAAAATGTAAGAATGAAGTTTATCTGAATTTTCATGAAATTCAATTTCATGGCATCTATACACTTAAAACTTGCTACTACCCTGGTTGTATTTTTGTTTGTAAGAATTTCAATGAGTAATATTCCACACTATTGTAATCTATACCAAAGGTAAACTCTCATTACGAAAACTTTCCTTTCCCCTCACCTCTCAATTCAGAGACAAATGCTGCTTTCTTAAGAGAAACTCTCTGCAGTGATGGAAGTGTTCTGTATCGGCGCTGTCCTGTACCTAGCCAATAGTCACATGTGGCTACTGAGCACTTGACATGTAGCTAGTGTGACTGAGGAACTAAAATGCTAATCTTATTTCACTGTCATTTTAGTTAAATAGCCATGGGCATCTAGCGGCTACAGTATTGGTCAGTGCTGCTCAAGAGCACCCACAGAATCTTTTACCACCATTCCATTTGCAGAGCACCCCCTTAGCACTTGTCATAGGTTGAGGCAATTGTTTTCACAGCCTTAGTCTGCCTTAATTCTCCTTACATATAAAGACATGCCAAAAAATCTGTCACATTCACCATTCTATGGCCGTCCTCTCCAGTGGTGTTCCCTCTTTTTTCATACAAACTCCTTGACCTGTCTTTCCATCTCCCTGCCTCATCCTTGTCTGTAACTTCTGTCAGACTTTCTACTTATCCAATTGTCACTGAACGTACTCTCTCATCACCTTTTTTATAATGACCCTTCTCTGTGTGCTTTGAATCCATCCCCTACATCCTCGTAGGGCCTACATGCTTGGTTTTTCTCTGTTCTCTTACGTTTCTTAATCTCTTACTCTACTGATTCCTACTCTACCGCTTATAAACTTGCCCAGGTCTCAGTAGAAGTACATCCATTCCCCATGCTCATCTTCACATTCTGTTCTTTCTACCACCACACTCCTGGAGGGAAGTATTTGTTTCCTCCTCCTAGTGTGTCCACTGGCACCGCAGTGCTGGCCCCTCTTCACCGTGCCCCTGTCACCTTTTTCCAACAGGGGCACTGCTTCAACTGAGTGAGAGCGGCTGCCTGCAGGGGTCACCTATTCTCGTCTGTTCCTCTCAGGGCCAGCTCTGCCCCTGCAAGGGAGGCCACCCGGAGTAGTTCTGCCAGCAATCACGTGGACAACTCTCCCTGACTCTGCATTTTATTATCCAGAGGGCCACTTGCCCACAGATAGGAGCCAGTCACCAGTTTCTTGGTCATACGAGTTATATATTGGCCTCTACTTGCCAACTCTTTTGCCTTATTTCTCAGTTAGTTCAGAAGAACAGAGGAGAGGGGTGTTATTTATTGGCCTTCTTCTAAGACTTCCCCAAAAAGACCCTTTGAAAGGGTAATCCATCCTTGCTGTCTTCATGCTTAAGCCCCTTGCATTCTGACTACTGCCATTACTGCCAGATTAACACTGAGTTTTGAAAGAGAGTGGTTCTCACAGTGTGATCCCCAGGCCAGCAGCATCAGCGTCACCTGGGAATTTCTTAGACATGCAAATATTTGGGCTCCCAGTCCCAGACCTACTGAATCAGACACTGTGGGAGTGGGCCCAAGCCCTCCAGGTGATGCTGAATCAAGTTTGAGCACCAGTGATATTAATCACAAAATCCTGTGGCCTGTTCTCTTTCAACAGTCATGCTGATTGCAAACACCTTTTGTGCCGGGCCCTATTCTAAGCCCTTTCCAATTACTAACTCATTGCATCCTCCTCATGAAGCAAGTTGGGTCACACAGCTGATGATGGCAAAGCCAGGGTTAAACCCAAGCAGGTAGTTTCAAGGCCACGTTCTTAACATCTACACTGGGCAGGCTCAACTCTCTGCCATGTGCCAGATGCTGGGGCTAGAAAGATGTACAACATCCATTTCTCATGCCTGAGGCCACACTCTCAGATAATAGACAGCTGAATCCGCCTGTTCCTGAATCTCTGCCTTCTTCTACTTGTCTTCTGCCTATCCTAAACTGCTCCTGCACTGTCTC